TATATCAAAACCCAAAAAATAAAATTTCCCACTATCAATATAATATGCCAGGGCCTAAATATTGTATGGCTAATAATTGAAGTCTTGGGATCAACAACCAGACATCTCCAATAAGTAGCATTTTTCAGAAAGAACTAGAAACTTTTATATGAATTAACCCTTCTTTTATATTTATGATTGTCACCAATAATTTAATAATCAAAATCAAATTCCTTACCTCTTAAATTCTAAAAATAATACTTTGGTATGTCTGATTGTTGTCCGGTAAAACATTATATTTCCTTAAGATTTATAATATTATTTATAAATAAAATAGTTTCATTTATATGTTACATTGTTTGAATTTGATTTTCAATGAAAAGTTATTTAAAAAGCTTATACATATTTTAAAATAAGCAATTAATAGTTTAATCTTATTTAATAATATTCTAATCAAAGATATATTATTAAAATAACTATTTCATTAAAAAAAATCAACAAAATTCATATATATTTTAATGTAACTTTTTCATGCTTAAAATGTTTTAATTTTAACACATGAAAAACAATTATAACAAATGAAAACTTTTAAATAACATTAACCAGGCACTTACATAACAAAAACATAATAATAATGAAAAAACAAACAAAATAATAACAATAAATTAACAAAGTTAAGTTCAAATTTAATATTTACATATATTCTAGTTATATCTGTCTGTTTTTTAGTTATCATAGTAATATTATTATTTTAGGTATTCCACATTAGTTATATAGAATGATTAAWTTAAGATAAGATACTCATTATTTTTAGAAAACATAAACAATTTAAAAAAAATTTCTTTTACATAATTATAGACCATTACAAAAACAATATTATTGGGGAAAAAAATTATATTTAATATTTTTTAAATGTTATATTCTATCAAATAAGAACAAACATTTTTAATTCTAGAGTATATATAATTATTTGGAGTATTTTAATCCATTAAAATCAGAATTTGGACAAGTAGTTTATAACTTACAACTATCTACAGTCGATGTTGGAGGAGTGGTAAGCCAAATTGTTTTAAGGGATATCTGTACACCGTCCAGTCCTACAACGTCGATTATAAATATTCATAAGTTAAGAGATAGTTCAGGCTTCTGCGCTTTTTTGAGAGGTACATAAACACACTCATGCTGACCATGTTATTTATAATATAATGTTAGTACTCCAACAAGGTGTGCTAGAGCTGACAAGGAGACATCATCTTACAATATTTTATATTAATGTCAACCATCTGTTTATCTGATTATATACTTGTAATAAAATACCAGGAAAAATTATTCACCTTAAGAGTGTTGACAAGATGAGTTGTGTTATTGACTAATACCTCTAAAGACAAATTCTCTTCTTCTAAAGCAATAGCTGTTGCATGTAATCGTTGATGTTCATCCAATGCTTCTAATAGAGCTTTTCTTCGACGTTCAGAGATCACTTCCCAATATTTTTCACTTGGGCCAGCTACGAACAATATAGGTATACAAAAACATGAAATTTATCTGACTTTACTGAATGTCTATAAATACTTACCTTCAGAAGTGAGATCTTCAGTTAACAATTTTATGTATAGCGACGAAACAACAGAAGATGTTTCATTAACGTTTACTTCCGTCTCGTTGGCTGTCTGTTCAGGTTTTGAAGATTTTCCGTCGAGTCTAAACAAAAAAAAATATAGAAATATTTTAAGTTAAAATAAAAACAATGCTACTGTAGACAAAACACTCACATCATGTCACGTGTTGTCCTACCAGCACCCACCAAGCTTTCCTTTCCGGYGCTTGATGGTTGCAAATTTTGCAAAAACTTCCTCATTTCTTTCTTTGACACCTGAAAAAAACGAAACAACAAATGAATATTAAAATTTCATTTTTGTGCGGCCACTCAACTATTTCATTCTTTCAACGACGGCCGAAGTACACTTCGTTATTACCAGTTTCCTCGTTTGAAACAGTTTTCAATGTTTTTAATTTTAGTAACTTTATAGAAGTGAACCGGTTTACAAAACGAACAAACTTGGTGGCGTCTATAATATTAAAGTAGATAAAGTTAGATAAGTATAGAAGTAAAAACACTCATATTTTCCAGTTTTCACTGCGCCTAATGGGCCGACAYGACGTCGCCGCCGAACGAAACAAATTGTTTATCAAAAACTTAATTATTTTATATTTTATTATAGAAGCAATGAGTTTTTATAACCGTCGCGCGTCGTCCGGTCATGACGTACGTGATACGGACGATGGTGGTAAACTCGTTCTATCGTACACTTGGTCCACAAAATACGATCACSGATGATTATAATTATAATTATTATTATATTATCATATCTTGATAATATTATCATTATTATTWATATTTATTTTGTAAACAAGTATCAGTATAAAATTAAATTCAAATAGGTAATATACCATAGATATTAAAGAATTTAATGTAATATACAGACATACGGTTAGTAGGTGTAAAGACAAAAAAGTAACTAAATTTTTGTATACATTACTATTGAGTATAGTCTATARCCTCTAATAACATATTAATAACTTTCAAATTAATTGGGTACTTTTCTTGTTTACCGGATACCCCCAATTTCGGCCATTTTTGGGGGAACTTTGTCAATTTTTGGTCGAAAAAAATGTTGGTGAAATCAGAATTTGGCGGACGGACTTAGTTTTGAAGTTATAGCTAATTAAAATTTTAACTTTATATGATAAGCCGTAAATACCTATAATGCTTACTGAAATTCATATTGAACTGTTCCGCGGTGGTAACTTTGCTTAACATTTAARGTAAGAGTACAGCGATCTTAACCCCCAATGCACAAAATTTTTTTGCACTTTTTTCTGAGAACGAAAACATCAAACTTGTAATGTATCTAACTGGTGTTATACTACCAGCGTGGTCACTCGCTCGGACATTAAATTCGAAAATATCTTTCTACTTTTCGCTTAAAACCACCTCGGGTGGATCTTGAGTTTCATCAATGTTTTTTTCTAAATACCTACACTGGTCACA